TCTTTGGTACACCTTTCAATGACAGACACTGCCACAGAACCTCACGATCCACTGAGTCAAATGCCGCTTTTAGGTCCAGGAACACGACTATTGTCGGACGTCTAAATGTGTGTCTGTGTTCCAGGACCTGTCGTAGTGTGAAAATGTGGTCTATACAACCACGTCCAGGTCGAAAACCAGATTGGTTTTCTCGAGTCTGCTCTTCACGAGCTCTAGTTAGACGTCTAAGTATAATCGAGGCTAACAATTTAGAAACTATATTAGTTAAACTTATTCCGCAGTGATTGTCACAAGAGGACTTCTGTCCTTTCTTATAGATTGGGACAATTAGCGACTGAGACCAGTAAGAAGGGATTACGTCCAGTTCCCAGATTCTACCTAGGATCTCGGTCAGTCTAACTGTTTAAACTGGACCACCATCTTTAAACATCTCAGGGGTAAGCCTATCGGGACCTGCCGCTCTACCTCCCCTTAGATTTCCTATAGCTTTCTCGACTTCATGTAAACTGGGAGGACTTAAATCGATTTGCCATTCAGGATAACTGGGGATCGTGGGCAACCGAAGAGTGGCTCGAGGCCAGTTGAACTGATCCCTAAAGTGTTCTGCCCATCGGTCCAGCCTCCTAGATTGAGAATGGATAATAAGACCATCCTTTTCCGAGATAGTCTCACTCACATTCGGGTTCCTAATACCGGTTTCTTTAATAAGGCGGAAAAGTTGTCTACTGTTGCCTATCGCCGCTGCCTTTTCCATCGCTTTTGCTTTCGCCACCCACCACTGTTCACGGTCGTTACGTAGGCTTTTTATAAGTCTGCGCCTAAGCTGACTACGCTCTTCATCATGTTCAGAGTCAGGTGGGATGCGTTTTCGAGCATCCATCAGTTCGGTGGATGCGACTGAAATCCACTGCTTCATTCTAGCCTTGTGGTTTACCTTGCTAGCAGATACCATTGCTGTTTCCACAGCCTTCTTGATATGATTCCAACCTGCTTCAGGATGGGAATCACTTGCATGGCCGCCTAACTGTTTTTCTAGTTCCTCCTGAAATATTTTCTTAGCTTCATTATCATCAAGTAAAGCCCTAAGAGGCTTCCTTACGGTGTCTTTCCTACGTCCAGCAAGCCTCAAACAAATACGTGCTCGCACTAGGGCATGATCTGAATCTAAACATGTGCCCCAGAACGAGCGACAGTCCTCTATCGAACCCCTCCATCGGTGGCTGATGGCGATATGATCTAGTTGTGTCCAACGTTGAGACGACTTCGGGGGTCGCCACGTCAAAAGATGTTTTTCCTTATGCTTAAAATTAGTGTTTGCTAGAAATAGTTGGTTATCTGAGCACAGTTGCAACAGCCGGTCGCCATTGTCTGTTCTTTGAGCCGCGAGACCGTAACATCCACCTAGGTGTCTTTCATTTTCACTTAGTCTACCTACTTGAGCATTGAAGTCACCAGCCATTATAACTATAACAGAGCGCTTAACGTTTTGGAGAAGGTCCGAAAGCTTTCTGTAAAACTCATCTTTTACATCATCTGGGCTGCAGTCAGTGGGGGCGTAGGCTGATATGACGAAGAGGCAACGACGAGTGTCCCTATCTTTCCGAGACCTTACTGTCCCGTTCAGTCGGACGGCGCACAAGCGACTATCTACAGGGATCCAGTCAAGGAGAGATTGTTCTGCCCTACGACTCAATGCTATACCTACACCGGCGAGGCCCCTAGAAGCAGCATCAGGGCTACCGGATACACGAAGGGTAAATCGAGCTGCTTCTTTATCTTGACATGGTGAGGTCAAATGAGTGATGCTACTCGGATCCTGTATGCGCGTTTCCGAGACGCAGCACACATCGATGGAACGAGATTCTAAAGTCCTAACTAATGATGCCTGTTGCCCTATTTGACACAATGTCCGTACATTGAATGCTCCAACATGTAGTTTGGAACGGGGTTTAAGGAGACCAGGAACGACGTTTCGCAAACTCGCATCGTTTGCATTAGCTGTGCACTGTAATAAATGAATGTGAGAAGAGTTAGTTGTGGAGATAAGAGAGGTATTAGGGAATGTAGGAAGGATTTGATTTTGAACAATTTGGTCTCGTGTGCTGTTACGGGTATGAGGGCGGTTATCACTTCCCGGCTGCCCACACCGTGGAAGGTTGTTTCTTGACGAACCTGAAAAGGAAGATAGATTAGTGTTGGTCTCGGAGACCTGGTTGCGTGACCGCAGAGTCCAAGGGACAACTGCTTGAGGCCGGTCACGCACGGCCTTTTTATGAAACGTTTTTTGAGGATTAACTCCGTTCTTAAAGGCCCTTAGTGGGCACCCTTACCCAAGGAGACGGAAATCCGTGAGTTAGGGGAGGTGTGACATTTTTAGAGTCGACCTTTTCTAACCCTTCCTTCCTTGTGAGAAGGCAGCATCGCTGCAGATGCTGGTTGTCCGAGGGAAACACCTAACTGCTATCACACCCCTCTGCAGTCAGCAGTACGACTTCGCCCTCAGACCTTGGGTAGCTGCTTTTAGTCTCATCGTTCTCCAATCGACCTGCCTGGCATGGTAGGACCTGCAGGAATATGTGTTCCAGCCAGTATAGCTCGGTTGGGTCATCACGATAGGCAAGCCCGACCACCACGTCAAGGTAGCAGCTTCGGTCGGGAAACTTGGCCGTTAAGAGTAGAAGATATTCGTAGGTTACTAGTATTCGATAATAGATGTCTTAGAAGCATTGCTCGTATATCGTGGGACAACCGAGTAAGCAATGCTATAGTTAGGAAACGAGTACTAGTTAAGGATGGTAGATCAATAGATGAAGTAATGAAACTTCATGGTTGGGACATGTGTTACGTATGGCTAACAACCGACTGCCTCGACGAGCTGTTTTGTGGTGTAGGAGTAGATTGGAAGAAAGCTAGAGGCAGCCAGACCAAAACATGGCAGAAATCCATGAAGTCACTGACTAGTGGACTGAGTCATGTTGGTAGATGTAGGCTACCTGGTTGGGGTCCGTGAGATGATGATAATCGGTGGTTAGAAACCCTGAATGACATGACTCAAGATCGTTTGCGATGGCGCAGGTGCATTCATCCTGTGTTCTCTCAAATCCTAAACTTTTTAATTCTTCGTTACTTTATCCTTATCTTTTTAAGTCTATTTGACTAGATTTTACTTCTTGAATAATATCTTCTAATTCTAACCTCTCTGACTACTGCTAATACCTTTACTACCACTACTACTATTGGATTTGAATTGACAATTACATCTGTGTGCTAATGTGATATGGCAACATGAATTGACGTACGTACGAAGTTCTACGCTGCTATTGATTGATTGATTGACAAAAGTCATATCTAATCGAACACTAAATTGTCACAAGAAACTAGGGATTTAAACCAACCTACGGAGATAATTTTAATTTCACCATGAAGGAAAAAGTAAATGAACAGTTATTTTCACTTTATCCACCAACAATCAACAAAATGATCCGTTTCAAAGTTACCAGCATGCCTTTTTTCTTCAACTGTTCACATAAACCAAGATTTCATACAGATATTTAGATTTTTAGAACTATCTAATCTGGACGAATGAGACTCGCCAAATAATAATTAATTAGCCTGTTCCTGTTAAAAAAAAATGTCAACAAACAAGTCCCGAAGAATAAATATACTAAGTCGAACAGTGGATTTCAAACATTATCAAATCGCTCCCTTATATATTCCCTTATATACTCCCTATCTATTCTCTATCTTTCTGTTTCTAAATTTATCTCACTGAATTACGATTCCCGAATCATATCTTCGAACCTTAATCTTCTCCATTACTGCTAATACTTCTACTATCGGTACCACTGTGTGATTTGAACTGACAGTTGCGTCTCTGTGCTTATGCGGTATGGCAACCTGAACTGATGTACTTACGTACGAAGTTCTACGTTGTAACAGACTGGTTGACTGACTTCCTTATACATCCTGGTTTTACCATATTGTCATCTGTAGTCTGAGCTGCACTATTTAATATTTGACTACTGAATGCTGTTGCTTAGAGGTGTGTTAACTTAAATAAACAAAAACGCATCATTCTTACGCTTTTATGTTGTATTCATTCAAGTTTTGAATTTTTCTCCCTTTGCTAATAAATTTAAAAAATATCTTTCATTTTTGCCATTTCTAATTCTATTGTCTTGACAGCTTACTGATATGTATTCTCTTAACTAGTTAACTTAAACACAATGACTCTACATCTATCATCTGTTTTGTCTTTTGCTGTACAAAGTAACCTCGTATCAGCTACATAAATATTAGATTTTTTAATGAAGAATTTGTTCAATGAAAAGCATTAAGCGATTAGTGAGTCATTTAGATCCTTGGTGGTGATGTCCTAAACGCCCATTATTGAGGAACATCATACTAGGACGAGGTAGTTTTTCAGTGTTTTCCTAACCAAAGTCAATCCGTGCTGGGAAAACTCGAATTTCCTTGGATTATCCAGTATTAAGTTGATTATGCTGGTCTTCTTACAGGGACATTCAGACAGGCAGATACAACGCAGAACTTCGTACGTTAGTACATCAGTTCAGCTTGCCATGCCCCATCAGCACAGAGACACAACTGTCAGTTCAAATCCAAGAGTGATACCAATAATAGAAGTATTAGCAGTAATGGAGAAGATTAGGGAGCGAAGAAATGGTTCGAGAAGTATAATTCAGTGAGACAAATTTAAAAGGAGAAAGGTAAAGATGATGAGGAATTCAGAAGATTAGAATTAGAGAGAACACAAGGAGTGGATGCACTTGTGCCATTGCAAATGATTCTGAGCCATGTCGTTCAAGGTCTCTAACCATCGGTGACTATCGTCTCGCAGACCCCAACCAGATAGCCTACATCTACCGACATGACTCAGTCCACTTGTTAGTGACTCCATGGATTTCTGCCATGCCTTGGTACACAATAAATTTACATGATATAAGATGGATGAAGAAACCCATGAGAAATAATTAGCTTACTTAAATATAATACATCTTTTTCCGGCATATTTATAACACCGTCACTTTCCATATTATTGAAATCAAACAAATTATCAAACACTTCCAAGCATATTTCAGTATCGGATAAACAAATAATAATACGTTCATTATTATTTTTACTAAGATTATTTTGATTTAATAGTTCTATACCCGTATTGAAACGAATAGATTTACATATGATACGTATATACTCTGTTAAATTGGAGAAAATTTTTCGAAATTGATTACGATAAGATGGATTTGAACAATTGTTGAATGTAGTACAACAATTTAAAAATATATCCATCAACATTTGAGCAGTAGAAATATTGGACAGGATAAAATTCATTGATTTCTCATCACAATTATCATTATTTGTTTTACTTTTTACATGTAAATATTTACAGAGAAATTTATAAATACCATCCAATGCTAATATACGTATACATTCATTTTCATGTGAAGCACAGTATGTTAACATAGTAGGTACCTAAACAAAAAACCATAAAAAGCAAGCTTTAATAATAATATCATATAAATATTATTCTTAACTAACAATGGATATACAATAACGAAATGTGTATGCAGTTGGTAAATATAAGAATATGAGTATAGTTGGAACTTAGCAGATATACTAATGTTGACTTGGAATTAGAACAACTAGGCAGCCAAGATGAGCTGAAATATTTTCGATGCATGCGGCTGTGTACGGACGATCACACATATGGACTATGAATCTTGAAGTTTAGAAATACGTTACTGAAAATTAGGCGACAAACCTTAAAATTGATTGCAATGATAAGGATTTATTCAACTTTACTTTGAAACATTACACTACTATAATCTAATTCTACTGTTCATCTACATCACCAAACTAATATATTATAGAGGTTCTTCATATACAGAGGCTATCTGGTATAATAATTGATATTTTTGATCACTATTAACCGACATGAGGAATTAAAATGCTCCAAAGGATGACCATAGAACATTCATAATATTTATGTCCAATAATTTAATGGACATCACGTACTAGGTTGTAAACAAAACCTGTATACATTTTAATACTACAGTCGATTACTTTAAACACTGTTATCTGGAATACAGATGGAACCACTATAGGATTGGTTGAAAGTTAGTCTGAAAGCAAATTATATATATACACTTATTTTCTTACAACATGGTTCTTTACAAGGCTGAAGTAACTCTTGATACACTCCTAATGTTTGGAGAAAGATAAGAAAGAAATTTTATCATACTTAGCAAACATAATGTAATCAGTATGAAGAGTGTGTGTAGGACTAACCAGCTGTTTTACTGATAATGGTAGATCGGCATAGTCTTTTATACTATATAATCGTAACCAAACAAGCAATTTCCGTTCATTCATATCAGAATATTGACCAGCTTTTGGATTGAGAAAATTTGAAGAAAGATGTTCAAGTAGTTGATCAATTAAAAGATCATTTTTATATAACTGTGCAGCTTCCCAATCGGATACAATGAGAACATTTTTCAATATGTCTGGACTGGGCAATAAGTTGAATTGACTATTCAAACAACTATGAATAAAATTATCCCAGCTTGTATTCTGTAAGACAAACTGAATGAAAAACAAGGAGAAAAATAACAACAGTTAATAATTGATAACCGATAACAATCCACATATAACAGATATGCTGGATCTTCAAGCATCAATTATTAAGACTACGAATTCAGAAGCGCCAAAATAGAGCTTTATCCATTACTGAAACGGCTACTTAGACTAAATCTAATCTTTTTTTCAAGATACTAACTAACTATTTCTATTGACACAATCCAACATGCAGAATCACCAACTTACAGTATTCTTCGACCTTTATCAAAACCGAAATCACCTCAGTATGAATATACTCTCTATATGAATAACTTTACAAGTAAATTTTCGAGAATTCGAAAGTTTACCACAACATTATCGATCAAGCAAACTCACTGCCACTGTTTTCACAATCCATTCGCAATTTTCTCTACTCTGACACTGTGTTTAAGGTTCTTACACAACATATTGTCTCACTCTTCCTACGAAGTTCGATAGAGGACTGCTGCTCGTTCTGGAACACATGTTTAAATTTAGAACATGCTCTAGTACGAGCGCGTATCTGTTTGCGTCTTACTGGTCGTAGGAAAGACACCGTAAGGAAACCTCTTAGGGCTCTAAGAACTAGAAGAACAGTTAGGCGGCCATGTTAGTGATTCCCACGCCGAGGCAGCTTAGAATAATATCAAAAAAGCTGTGGAAACAGTGATATCTGCTAACAAGATAAACCATAAGCCTAGGAAGAAGCCGTGGATCTCAGTAGCCTCCACCGAACTGATAGACGCTCGGAAACTCACCCCACCTGGCTCTGAACATTACGAAGAGCGAAATCAGTTTAGGAGCATGATAATAAAAAGCCTACGCAATGATCGCGAACAGTGGTGGGTAGCGAAAGCAAGGGCGGTGGAAAAGGCTGCGGCGATAGGCAACAGCAGACAGTTGTTCCGACTCATCAAGGAAACCGGTATTCGAAATCAACCCGTCAGCGAAACTACTTCATAAAGAGATGGCTGTATCATTCATTCTCAATCCAGGAGATTGGATCGATGGGCAGAACACTTCAGGGATCACCTCAACTGGCCTTCAGTCACACTTCGGTTGCCCACGATCTCCAGTCATCCTGAAAGGCAAATCGATATAAGTCCTCTGACTCTTTATGAAGTTGGAAAAGCAATAAGATATCTAAAGCGAAGGAGAGCAGCAGGTCCTGATAGGCTTACCCCTGAGATTTTTAGGGATGATAGTCCAGTTTTAACAGTTAGATTGACCGAGATCTTAGGTAAAATCTAAGAACTTGGCGTAATCCCATCTGACTAGCCTCAATCCCTGATTGTCCCAATTTATAAAAAAGGACAAAAGTCCTCTTATTGCGCATTTTGTAGATATTTTTGGAATATATGTATACGATTACAGTCGTACAACTTGACATATCTATCGATAAATGGAACTGTACGTGTACGTATGATAAAGATACAACTCATTTAATCCATTACGTACTCATAAAACGTTATTCAAACAATTAGATCTTGGTACCTGAAATGATTTAATAGAATTACAACTACAGGACACCTTTGACACGGGACGATCGACTATTCCAGTTAACATGAATTGAATTACAGGTTTCAGTAGGTTAAAATCATATACCTTTGGAGAATTTTGCTTGATAATTACACTGTACAATTGTAAAAAGGAAGCGAAAGAAATCAGTAAACAAAATAAATTTTGAAAATTATGTATTGTACACAGAAGCTCAACCCATTAAAACTATCAGTACGATAATAACCATGGAAACAAAAAACTGAATCAAAAATATATTAACTAATATTGAAAGGAGAATTGTCAAAATACAGAGGCAGCATACAGTGAACAAGTACTTATCCAACCATAATAAGGTTGAAACTTCCAATAGTAAATAATTTTCATAACTCCCTTAGTTTGCATATCCTAACCCTAAATCAATACTAATGCATGACAAACCACATAACGTTTAGCTCTAAGATGTAAAGCAGCAAACTAACTAGAAAGTTTATTCGTCATCCTAGTCACTGAACACTCACGTTTATCAGTAGACAACACCATAAGGAATCTCGAGAAAAAAGTCATTTCATACACTTACTGAATGACTAAACATAACGTTTAATGCGTGTTTAGGTTTACATAATTCGAAGAAACAAACATCTGGATAAAATAAAAGCCGCACGCCTTTCAAAATGTAAGTAAATTAGTTCTAATGATTAAGAATAAGAAGTTGAACGAAAACAATAAATTAATAATATCCATTTGATATGAAACCACGTCCATACCTATAAACTTTAGTAGTTCACTAGTTAGGGAATTCAACTTCCAACTACTAACGTGATGGCTCCAATACCAATTCAACTCGTTTAGTTTGAACAGTCAAGTGGTAACATTAGTGTTTACAGAAAAGTATACCTCGAAATCGAATACAAAAGTTTGTTTTTTTACTAAGTCAAAAATTAGGGAACATGTTTACTCAGTTTTAAATCTATCATAGTTTAGTAACAGTTCTAATAAAACTACCTAGAATCATAAACTACAGGGTTACTCAACATGCTGTTATTCGGAGAAACTCAATTTTCACTCACTGTGACCAGTTCAAAACTAATTTTATCTGAGTACCCAATTAGTATAGCGAGCATTTACAAAGTACGTCTGACTAGTAATCTAATATATAATTATTCGTCTATTACACCTTGTATGCAAATGGTTATGAATGAAAAACATAAACTTAAAATAACTTTGATCCAGGTATACATTCAAGACAACAACGAACGTAATTCAACCTGAAAGATTTTCTTCAACGTCTCAAAATTAAGACAGACTACCTTAATAGACCAACCTCTGTTCGAAAATAGATTTTATAGTATCACAAGCCACATAAGATGTGCAATTGTATTCAATAGCCAATATAAGATTCCACAGAAGAAACGGACTATGACGAAAAACCTTTGGTTGGAATAGAAAAGTTAAAACATGGGAAAAAGGGATTAGAGAATAATTACTAAGACCTTACTTCAAATGTATAATTTAGTACTAAGACCCATAAAAATTTGTCTGTACATGCAATTTTTTGCTAAGAAACCCACAAATCTCAGAAGATTTTTGTAGCCTCGTGTTAAAACACGGCTGGTAATTTCATTTTTAGACATATGCTGTGGAATTGGTGAAACCTAATGAATTCATTTTAACAACAAAACTAAATATGAAGGTACAGAATTAATTATTCCGAGTCTCACTAATCTGTGCATATATCAACAGTGGAAATGACTTACGTTAAAAGATGTTTTGAAACAAAATTACTGTCATTAGTGCAAAAGAACGTTGGGTGAGTGGATATTCTCAAAAGTTTCACTAAACTTAATCTTTGAATACAATAGCCCAAACTTTGAAGCATATTAACAGAGCAACTAATTTTAGGTAATTAGTGAGCTTTTAGTAGCTGTGTTAAATTCGAAGCAAGGCTCATCAGAAAAACTAGTACACATCAGCAATTCGATTTTATAAGCAATAAATTACTTATGAATTCTTTGCGAGTCTGAATGCAATTTTTGACAATTGATTTTCTGTTCTGACACGAAGTAATAATGCCCAAGATACCTTATTGATATGTCTGAGTAAATATATATACTTTCCAAAGATATCACTTTAAAGATAAACACTACGGATATTAAAGACAACTCAATACTTGGTAAAGAAACTTATGATTTTATACAGATACCTGAAACAATAAATGTAAAAACATCAGATAATACAATATTTTACCTCAATAAGCCCTAAGCACTTCAGAACAGAAGGTACACAATGAATTGAATTTTTAGACAATTTGAAATCCCTTGTTATATTCACAGACTGACATGGGATAATATCGTTTAAAATATTTTCCAAAACAGATATAAATCTGGGATCTCTTTTGCTCGATATCACAAGCATGTCAAGAATATGTTGAAAAAACTCCTGGACTGATTTTTCCACAATTACATTAGACGATCCAGCGTGTAGATAAATAGATCTGCAAATTACTTGTGCGCAGTCAGTCAAACATTCATCAAAATACTGGATACAAGAAAAAATGACAGTAGTAAATATCACTTACTGACAAAATGATAGAACGAATACAAGAATAAATACTTTCTCGCTGCCATACCACATTAGCACATAGACACAATTGTCAATTCAAATCCCGTAGCAACAGAGGTAGTGGAGGTATTGGCACTAATCAGAAAGATTAATGATCGAATATATATATTTGAGGTGTATACGCCAGAGAAATCAGTTAAAAAGAGAGAGATGGCCATGAGGAATTCAGAAGGCCAGGATTTGGTAGAACACAAAGAATTGATGCACCTGTGCCATTGCAAACGGTTTTGAGCCATGTCATTCAGGGTCTCTAACCATCAGTTAATATCATCTCGCGGACCTCAACCAGGTAGTCTACATTTACCAACATGACTCAATCCAGTTGTCGGTGACTTCATAGATTTGTGCCATATTCTGGTTCGGCCGCGCCTACATCAGGAAACAGCTCAACGAGGCAGTCGGTGGTTGGGCATTCGTAATATATGTCGCAACTCTCTCAAATAGAGTTTCACTACTTCACTTACTGATATGCCATTTTTATCTCATAGCCATTTCCCAACAACTGCATTGATTACTCATTGATCCCAGGATATGCGAGCAATGCTTCGGAGATACCTATGATCGAAAACCAGTAACCTACGAATATCTTCACTCTAACTCGTAACGTTTCTCATAAATAATGTAGAACAAAGCATAAAATAGAGCAGTCTAAACTAATACTATCACATATCTTGTGCCTCTAATATGGGTAGCATATAACTTTACGTAATTCAAAGTCTAAGAACCTACTACCCTAAGTGCTGACTGTTGCGTACACCATCTTTATCGAGTGAAGATAGTGAATGGATGAGATAAAACTTGAGTAGCTTCAATACTAAGAATTTCTAAGCCCATCCCTTATTTGAGTTATAAAGCCAAACAACTGTTTGGTCATCGAACTCAAAAAGATACTCCAGATGTGATCTTTGATAACAGAAAGTAGATATATTGAGTCAAGTGATAAAAACAGTTGATGTATACATCAATGAGACAATGGAAAATCAAACCTGATATGATATCTTCAAAATGTACAGACGGTAAAAACCTAATAGTAAGCAAGTTGTGGATTTATTAAAGCGGAAAAATTCTAGCTGAATAATTATTCAAAATAGTCACTATTCCGTACACGTTTAAACGAAGTAACTCATACAGTTTTCGATCTATTTCTGTAATTGGTTTCAGTATCATTACTCCCTTAATGTTCGTAACAATTTGGTTAGTTATTCGGTCATAATCGAGAGGTCTCAGCAGTAACGAATCTTAGTCTGAGTTTTAACACAAAAACTCAGTGCAATAAGATGAAATTAACAAGCATAGTAAGGGAGTTAATTATAGCTTTCATGATTCCTAGTACTAATCAGATTCCTTTCACGAAAACACTACTTTTCACTGGGATATCTAACGATAAACGTCAACCGATATCTTTTTCTGTGAAAGAAGCCTAAAATCTCAAGTATTGTTCCACAAAATTAATTGCACTAACCTCGTTTACTGTTTTCTGAAATATAAATGAACACCACGCCTTAGCAAGAGCGATGCACTGCAATAAAACGTTGGGAGAATATTTTTTAAGTCGATGAATTATGAAATGACTGATTAGGGAGCAACGGAATGAAGAGTTACAAAACTTGTTTGACTGAAGATATTCGACTACGCCGAACAAACAAACTATTTGAAGCTGCTCGGCAACGATTCCTGAAAACGCGTTTAGGTAAAACAGACTGGGCACCACCTTTTATTTTGGCGTCTTCAAATCCCACTAAAGCGAATAACATGTGAATATCTACGCAAGAAATTTAGCGAGAAGTAACATACATACCATTTATAATAAGAGAAGTCAGTTCAATCAGACCTTTGTCGTGGAAATGTCTGATAAAATATTCAACAACGAACCTCCCAAAATATAACTTTTCCGTTGAAGGTTTCTAAAACAATTACCTTTCACGCAAATCAAAACCACATACGCACTCGAGTAGAAAAGTCGAAAGTCCGTGAAAATCAAATGTGCTGTCATCTTCTTTCAATAGAGAGGACTTTAGCTCCTGTATGATGCTTTAATGCTGAATAAAATGAAACCTACGTTTATTTTTCTGATTTCATGCATAGCAAAGTCTATGAAGAGGTAATAGTGAGTGGTATTACACACTGATGAAAACTTCACTTTCAGACCGCAAACAATCTAGAATCGAAATATCTTTCATAAATCGTATTTAAATTTTGAAAATCAGTTGCAGATATTTATATGCAGAACGACAAGTACTTAAGGAAAAAAGACGAAGTAACGCATACTTTCGTATATTCCTGAGTGAAGGGGGTGGGTCTCAATTTCCAATTGTCACCATACAAATGCAGATAACAGAAAACTGTTTACACAGATATGGCAATCTGTAAAGTTGTGTATTAAGACTGTTGATGCAGTTACGTACTTAAAAATTTCGATCAGCGGTATACTCTGAAAACCCGATTTCGGAAAAGTCCCTTTCCACGTCATAAGGTTACTGGTGAAGGGGTCACGGATATTCTAGGTTGGACAACGCATTTTTCTGCGACATCTTTCAGATCGAGGAAATCCAAACCATAAATCAGGAATTAGGAGGACAGATGGTATATTTGGACGATGATTGGGATATCGAGAAGTGAGAAAACCGAGCCCGCTAGGTAATGCGTTAGGCGCCGTACCCTACGATGATCTGGTGCGTATGGTAATCGATGGCCTTCTATCCTTCGTCACTTCCTTGAGAAGAAAGAAGTGGGAATGGAAGTGCATTTAACACTTATTCTGACGCCTTTCGGATAATGGAATAATAGTCAGCCCAGACAAGTGTGAACTGTATGGCCAAAAATAAAATTCTTGGATCAAACCACGCTCCTCGCTCATCCTGACCCATTAGCCACGCTTATCATAGCTGCTGATGCGTCAGGTTTAGTTATAGAAGCCGTTATGCAACAGAACGTCTCTGGAAGTTGACAACCGTCCGAATTTTTCTCATGACACCTCACTCCCACTGAGACGAGATATAGCGCTTTTGGTTGAGAACTGCTAGCAGCCCATTGTGCGGTCAAACATTTCCGACGACGCAGTGAGACGTCGTAACTTTATCCTCTTCACTGACCATAAGCCTCTGAAGTATGCTTTGCATACTAAGTCTGACCGCTACTCACCACGAGAGTGCAGATATTTGGACTATAACTTTCAATTCAAGACAGATCTCCTGTTAGTTATTTCCATAACTAATTGTAGTTATGTCACAACTAACCAATCAAATTGTGGTTTAAGCGCCCACCACGTTATCTGATCTGACGTGTCTGTAAACTTTCTTTGTTCTAAATGACCTACTGATTGAAGGATATTATTATCTTCTTATATCGATGTGACTCATAGTTTTGTTCATTTCCATAGGACAAGCTGTACTGGTATGGCCACTGGTCAACCAAATGATCCTTCCTGTACAGAAGCACAATAATCTACATCCCTTCAGCGGTAGGAAGTACCACTAGCTACCACCTGTCGGACAGTTCTGCTGGTCTACCCCAACCCATCGTACCCTCTGCTTACCGTCGTCTGGTCTTCGATAACCTTCATGGATTGTTTCATCCAGGTATCGCAGCCACAATACGGCTCATTGCTGAACAATACTCTGGCCGTCCATGAACGAAGATTTCCGTAAGTGGGTAAGGCATTGTTTACAATAAAAACGACCATAAGTGCTCAGGCACGTAGCTGCCTCCATGAGCACATTCGTTACGCCTGATGCTCTCCTCGATCACGCTCATACTAACATTGTAGGACCAATGCCACCATCCCATGGGTATGATCATATACGATAATAATAATAATAATAATTTATTCTCAAATAACTACGTTACAAGAGTCACGCCAGTTTATAGGTTAGATCAAATTGTCACAAATGCTTTCACAATCACTGTAAAGTTATAGCAGTTAAATTAAGTATAAGAGACAGTTTCTGATTGCATATTTACACCATGTCACTGACAGAAACAGTATTATACAGCCACATTTTCAATATTAGAGTACAAATGAGGAAGGTGCACAATTGGTTCTATTGGCGATTGGCCGAGATCAATAGTGAATTTGTTGGGAAAGGTCATATGGAACGCGCTTGATACGAGCTGTGATCCAGACAGTCATGTACATAGGGTGCATGTTCCCTAGAGTCGCCAAGGATTTCCCACCGTGAATGGGGTTCTGAAAAGGAGAAGAGAGAGAGGAAAAGGCAGCAGTGTGGCAAGTGTATATATATAACCAAAGCACTACTTAACCTGTCATGTTAAAGTAGTCAATACAGTAGTAAGTCAAGATAAAATTCATACTGACCACTTAAATTAAAGTAAATTATGGGAATATAAGAATATAACGCACAGATAAAGGAGTACAGCAAAAAGAAGGGAGAGTTGTGCAGTGTCAGGTGGACAGAAGAGAAGTCGAAGTAAGAAGCTGGATTTATGTAGGTTGAAATCGAAATTCTAGTTGAAAGAGTAGAGTTTGTAAAAATAAAAATTTGACGAATAAAATCTCGCACTGTCTAACTGTTTTTTTCTTTATTATTGAATGCCAACCTCTAAGTCATACTGTTAGCGCCTGAGTAAGAATGTTGCAGGTGTCTCGACAGAATAGCCACCTCAGCATAGTTTTGGAAACATGAACCACAGAAGTAGCAAGCGTATAAGAGCAACCTCAGTGTTACTGATTAGTCGTCTCATCAATCTAAAGAGCCGAAAGCAAACAAAATGTTCTGCCCCACAAACATGGGTGGTTTGAAGTTATCGCCCACACCATCAATGTTTGCTGGTCAGTAACTCCACCCTCCCTCCTTTTGTGTTGTTAGGCTCATGTTAAATGTTTAAAAGAAGCTATTGAGTTCTACTTGGTGTTCTATGTCTCGCATCCTGTTGAGAAACACTATTTCTGCAAGTTCCTTTCACAAACTCGTCTGGCTATTACAACTTATGAACTATTGGTTAGGCATCAATGCTATACAGTTAACAGTTATGGAGAAATAGTAAGAATTTTCAAACAAGATATAAGCATTTTGAATGTAGTGGGGAAGATGTACTTAACTAGCTAAGCAGGAGATATAAAGAGTATCGCGGTTAAAAGCGGAGCAATAGATAACACTAAGGGGCCAAGGTAAGTCAATAGTGTGTAAGTGAGAACAGTATAATTGATAATCGGCAATGTGAAACTCACACAGTTGTAAGTGTTGATAAGGTTGCGCCCAGGAGAGTAGAGTGCATTCTAATCAACCAGTTTACAGTTGAACAGTGTCGATCGACCCAGTTAGTAGAGTAACCTGTCTATTTCAAATAAAAACTAAAGAGATTTATATTCAACTAGGAAAATTAGTGCTACTTGGGAGTGTAAAAATAACTAAATAAGACGCAGCACTGAGCTCATTGTGTTTAAAGTGTATGCAGAGCTATTAATATGAAAGCAGGGTGCGAGTGAGTTCACGAGCGCAGAAGAGTCAGTGCAACTGAGAGCATCATTAAGAAGTTGAACAAACTCATGTAACCCACTTGCCATGCGTATTTTTGAGGGAAGCCTATTCCATATAAGTGCATACTTAGAGAGGAAGAAGTTTTCTCGAGTTTTGGATCTATACTTCTCAAGTTTGACCGTAGATACTTTATCTCGAAGGTTATGTGTACAAGGGCCATGGATAAGGACTAAACTGCAGAAGGAATATGTGAGCTTGTGCAGGAGTTTAAAGTAAAGGATCAGATTGGACTTAAGCCTTCTTTTCCATAATGGATCGAGCCCGAGTTCAATACATCGGGTTGGATAGTCAATGGGTGAGCTATGATTTAGGACTTTACGAGTAAATTTCCTTTGTATTCCTTCAAGTTTCAACATATCAGACAGGCGTACGTTAGAAAATAAGAAGGAGCAGTATTTAGCAATAGGTCTTACGCATGTTTTATAGAGAATTGTTCTGGATTCTCTATGAAGGAAGTTACGAAAGATGAAACCAAGCATTCTTCTCATTCGAGAAACTTTATTGGAGATATGTTCGGAGAAGTTAAGGTTGTGCGAATAATACACTCCAAGATCAGTTACGGATGTGAGTTTGGGCAATATATTCCTGTTGAGAATGAGATCTAATTTGGGAGCAGCGTCTCCGAAACACATCCAGCCACACTTCTCAGTACTAAGTTCAAGGTTCCATTGCTTACACCAGACATCTACAGTATTGAGTTCGTGCTGGATTGTGTGCAACAAGTTTCCTAAGTCAGATTTGCTAGTTTGATAAATCACTTTTAGGTCATCCGCATAGAGGTAGGTTTTACCAGTGTTGAAACAACTGCATATGCTGTTGATGTAGATTATGAAAAGTAGTGGACCCAAAACACTGCCCTGCACAACACCACTGGTAATTGGTCAAGGTGTAGATGTATGTGAGTTGATTTTGGTAATCGTATATCTATCTGTGAGGAACGACCTAATCCATTGCAACAGGTGGCCACTAATACCGACGGACTGAAGTCTGTTGATTAAAAGACTGTGAGGTACCTTATCGAAAGCCTTTTTGATATCAAAATACAACACGATTACTAGTTGCTTTTGATCGCGTATGCTGGTAACCTCATTAAAGAAATCCAAAAGACATGTGGTGCATGACCTAGTTCTAATGAAGCCATGTTGAGAGGGGTCAATTTTCTTACAACATGGTTCTTTACAAGGCTGAAGTAACTCTTGATACACTCCTAATGTTTGGAGAAAGATAAGAAAGAAATTTTATCATACTTAGCAAACATAATGTAATCAGTATGAAGAGTGTGTGTAGGACTAACCAGCTGTTTTACTGATAATGGTAGATCGGCATAGTCTTTTATACTATATAATCGTAACCAAACAAGCAATTTCCGTTCATTCATATCAGAATATTGACCAGCTTTTGGATTGAGAAAATTTGAAGAAAGATGTTCAAGTAGTTGATCAATTAAAAGATCATTTTTATATAACTGTGCAGCTTCCCAATCGGATACAATGAGAACATTTTTCAATATGTCTGGACTGGGCAATAAGTTGAATTGACTATTCAAACAACTATGAATAAAATTATCCCAGCTTGTATTCTGTAAGACAAACTGAATGAAAAACAAGGAGAAAAATAACAACAGTTAATAATTGATGACCGATAACAATCCACATATAACAGATATGCTGGATCTTCAAGCATCAATTATTAAGACTACGAATTCAGAAGCGCCAAAATAGAGCTTTATCCATTACTGAAACGGCTACTTAGACTAAATCTAATCTTTTTTTCAAGATACTAACTAACTATTTCTATTGACACAATCCAACATGCAGAATCACCAACTTACAGTATTCTTCGACCTTTATCAAAACCGAAATCACCTCAGTATGAATATACTCTCTATATGAATAACTTTACAAGTAAATTTTCGAGAATTCGAAAGTTTACCACAACATTATCGATCAAGCAAACTCACTGCCACTGTTTTCACAATCCATTCGCAATTTTCTCTACTCTGACACTGTGTTTAAGGTTCTTACACAACATATTGTCTCACTCTTCCTACGAAGTTCGATAGAGGACTGCTGCTCGTTCTGGAACACATGTTTAAATTTAGAACATGCTCTAGTACGAGCGCGTATCTGTTTGCGTCTTACTGGTCGTAGGAAAGACACCGTAAGGAAACCTCTTAGGGCTCTAAGAACTAGAAGAACAGTTAGGCGGCCATGTTAGTGATTCCCACGCCGAGGCAGCTTAGAATAATATCAAAAAAGCTGTGGAAACAGTGATATCTGCTAACAAGATAAACCATAAGCCTAGGAAGAAGCCGTGGATCTCAGTAGCCTCCACCGAACTGATAGACGCTCGGAAACTCACCCCACCTGGCTCTGAACATTACGAAGAGCGAAATCAGTTTAGGAGCATGATAATAAAAAGCCTACGCAATGATCGCGAACAGTGGTGGGTAGCGAAAGCAAGGGCGGTGGAAAAGGCTGCGGCGATAGGCAACAGCAGACAGTTGTTCCGACTCATCAAGGAAACCGGTATTCGAAATCAACCCGTCAGCGAAACTATTTCAAAAAGAGATGGCTGTATCATTCATTCTCAATCCAGGAGATTGGATCGATGGGCAGAACACTTCAGGGATCACCTCAACTGGCCTTCAGTCACACTTCGGTTGCCCACGATCTCCAGTCATCCTGAAAGGCAAATCGATATAAGTCCTCTGACTCTTTATGAAGTTGGAAAAGCAATAAGATATCTAAAGCGAAGGAGAGCAGCAGGTCCTGATAGGCTTACCCCTGAGATTTTTAGGGATGATAGTCCAGTTTTAACAGTTAGATTGACCGAGATCTTAGGTAAAATCTAAGAACTTGGCGTAATCCCATCTGACTAGCCTCAATCCCTGATTGTCCCAATTTATAAAAAAGGACAAAAGTCCTCTTATTGCGCATTTTGTAGATATTTTTGGAATATATGTATACGATTACAGTCGTACAACTTGACATATCTATCGATAAATGGAACTGTACGTGTACGTATGATAAAGATACAACTCATTTAATCCATTACGTACTCATAAAACGTTATTCAAACAATTAGATCTTGGTACCTGAAATGATTTAATAGAATTACAACTACAGGACACCTTTGACACGGGACGATCGACTATTCCAGTTAACATGAATTGAATTACAGGTTTCAGTAGGTTAAAATCATATACCTTTGGAGAATTTTGCTTGATAATTACACTGTACAATTGTAAAAAGGAAGCGAAAGAAATCAGTAAACAAAATAAATTTTGAAAATTATGTATTGTACACAGAAGCTCAACCCATTAAAACTATCAGTACGATAATAACCATGGAAACAAAAAACTGAATCAAAAATATATTAACTAATATTGAAAGGAGAATTGTCAAAATACAGAGGCAGCATACAGTGAACAAGTACTTATCCAACCATAATAAGGTTGAAACTTCCAATAGTAAATAATTTTCATAACTCCCTTAGTTTGCATATCCTAACCCTAAATCAATACTAATGCATGACAAACCACATAACGTTTAGCTCTAAGATGTAAAGCAGCAAACTAACTAGAAAGTTTATTCGTCATCCTAGTCACTGAACACTCACGTTTATCAGTAGACAACACCATAAGGAATCTCGAGAAAAAAGTCATTTCATACACTTACTGAATGACTAAACATAACGTTTAATGCGTGTTTAGGTTTACATAATTCGAAGAAACAAACATCTGGATAAAATAAAAGCCGCACGCCTTTCAAAATGTAAGTAAATTAGTTCTAATGATTAAGAATAAGAAGTTGAACGAAAACAATAAATTAATAATATCCATTTGATATGAAACCACGTCCATACCTATAAACTTTAGTAGTTCACTAGTTAGGGAATTCAACTTCCAACTACTAACGTGATGGCTCCAATACCAATTCAACTCGTTTAGTTTGAACAGTCAAGTGGTAACATTAGTGTTTACAGAAAAGTATACCTCGAAATCGAATACAAAAGTTTGTTTTTTTACTAAGTCAAAAATTAGGGAACATGTTTACTCAGTTTTAAATCTATCATAGTTTAGTAACAGTTCTAATAAAACTACCTAGAATCATAAACTACAGGGTTACTCAACATGCTGTTATTCGGAGAAACTCAATTTTCACTCACTGTGACCAGTTCAAAACTAATTTTATCTGAGTACCCAATTAGTATAGCGAGCATTTACAAAGTACGTCTGACTAGTAATCTAATATATAATTATTCGTCTATTACACCTTGTATGCAAATGGTTATGAATGAAAAACATAAACTTAAAATAACTTTGATCCAGGTATACATTCAAGACAACAACGAACGTAATTCAACCTGAAAGATTTTCTTCAACGTCTCAAAATTAAGACAGACTACCTTAATAGACCAACCTCTGTTCGAAAATAGATTTTATAGTATCACAAGCCACATAAGATGTGCAATTGTATTCAATAGCCAATATAAGATTCCACAGAAGAAACGGACTATGACGAAAAACCTTTGGTTGGAATAGAAAAGTTAAAACATGGGAAAAAGGGATTAGAGAATAATTACTAAGACCTTACTTCAAATGTATAATTTAGTACTAAGACCCATAAAAATTTGTCTGTACATGCAATTTTTTTGCTAAGAAACCCACAAATCTCAGAAGATTTTTGTAGCCTCGTGTTAAAACACGGCTGGTAATTTCATTTTTAGACATATGCTGTGGAATTGGTGAAACCTAATGAATTCATTTTAACAACAAAACTAAATATGAAGGTACAGAATTAATTATTCCGAGTCTCACTAATCTGTGCATATATCAACAGTGGAAATGACTTACGTTAAAAGATGTTTTGAAACAAAATTACTGTCATTAGTGCAAAAGAACGTTGGGTGAGTGGATATTCTCAAAAGTTTCACTAAACTTAATCTTTGAATACAATAGCCCAAACTTTGAAGCATATTAACAGAGCAACTAATTTTAGGTAATTAGTGAGCTTTTAGTAGCTGTGTTAAATTCGAAGCAAGGCTAATCAGAAAAACTAGTACACATCAGCAATTCGATTTTATAAGCAATAAATTACTTATGAATTCTTTGCGAGTCTGAATGCAATTTTTGACAATTGATTTTCTGTTCTGACACGAAGTAATAATGCCCAAGATACCTTATTGATATGTCTGAGTAAATATATATACTTTCCAAAGATATCACTTTAAAGATAATCACTACGGATATTAAAGACAACTCAATACTTGGTAAAGAAACTTATGATTTTATACAGATACCTGAAACAATAAATGTAAAAACATCAGATAATACAATATTTTACCTCAATAAGCCCTAAGCACTTCAGAACAGAAGGTACACAATGAATTGAATTTTTAGACAATTTGAAATCCCTTGTTATATTCACAGACTGACATGGGATAATATCGTTTAAAATATTTTCCAAAACAGATATAAATCTGGAATCTCTTTTGCTCGATATCACAAGCATGTCAAGAATATGTTGAAAAAACTCCTGGACTGATTTTTCCACAATTACATTAGACGATCCAGCGTGTAGATAAATAGATCTGCAAATTACTTGTGCGCAGTCAGTCAAACATTCATCAAAATACTGGATACAAGAAAAAATGACAGTAGTAAATATCACTTACTGACAAAATGATAGAACGAATACAAGAATAAATACTTTCTCGCTGCCATACCACATTAGCACATAGACACAATTGTCAATTCAAATCCCGTAGCAACAGAGGTAGTGGAGGTATTGGCACTAATCAGAAAGATTAATGATCGAATATATATATTTGAGGTGTATACGCCAGAGAAATCAGTTAAAAAGAGAGAGATGGCCATGAGGAATTCAGATGGCCAGGATTTGAGAGAACACAAAGAATGGATGCACCTATCCCATCGCAAGCGGTTTTGAGTCATGTCATTCAGGATCTCTAATCATCAGTCACTATCATCTCGCGAACCTCAACCAGGTAGTCTACATTTACCAACACGATTCAGTCCAGTTGTCGGTGACTTCATAGATTTGTGCCATATTCTGGTTCGGCCGCGCCTACATCAGGAAACAGCTCAACGAGGCAGTCGGTGGTTGGGCATTCGTAATATATGTCGCAACTCTCTCAAATAGAGTTTCACTACTTCACTTACTGATCTGCCATTTTTATCTCATAGCCATTTCCCAACAACTGCATTGATTACTCATTGATCCCAGGATATGCGAGCAATGCTTCGGAGATACCTATGATCGAAAACCAGTAACCTACGAATATCTTCACTCTAACTCGTAACGTTTCTCATAAATAATGTAGAACAAAGCATAAAATAGAGCAGTCTAAACTAATACTATCACATATCTTGTGCCTCTAATATGGGTAGCATATAACTTTACGTAATTCAAAGTCTAAGAACCTACTTTCCTAAGTGCTGACTGTTGCATACACCATCTTTATCGAGTGAAGATAGTGAATGGATGAGATAAAACTTGAGTAGCTTCAATACTAAGAATTTCTAAGCCCATCCCTTATTTGAGTTATAAAGCCAAACAACTGTTTGGTCATCGAACTCAAAAAGATACTCCAGATGTGATCTTTGATAACAGAAAGTAGATATATTGAGTCAAGTGATAAAAACAGTTGATGTATACATCAATGAGACAATGGAAAATCAAACCTGATATGATATCTTCAAAATGTACAGACGGTAAAGACCTAATAGTAAGCAAGTTGTGGGTTTATTAAAGCGGAAACCTTCTAGCTGTATAATTATTCAAAATAGTCACTATTCCGTACACGTTTAAACGAAGTAACTCATACGGTTTTCGATCTCTTTCTGTAATTGGTTTCAGTATCATTACTCCCTTAATGTTCGTAACAATTTGGTTAGTTATTCGGTCATAATCGAGAGGTCTCAGCAGTAACGAATCTTAGTCTGAGTTTTAACACAAAAACTCAGAGCAATAAGATGAAATTAACAAGCATAGTAAGGGAGTTAATTATAGCTTTCATGATTCCTAGTACTAATCAGATTCCTTTCACGAAAACACTACTTTTCACTGGGATATCTAACGATAAACGTCAACCGATATCTTTTTCTGTGAAAGAAGCCTAAAATCTCAAGTATTGTTCCACAAAATTAATTGCACTAACCTCTTTTACTGTTTTCTGAAATATAAATGAACACCACGCCTTAGCAAGAGCGACGCACTGCAATAAAACGTTGGGAGAATATTTTTTAAGTCGATGAATTATGAAATGACTGATTAGGGAGCAGCGGGGTGAAGGGTTACGGAAATTGTTTGAGTGAAGGTATGGGACTACGCCGGACAAACAAACTATTTGAAGCTGCTCGGCAAGGATTCCTGAAAGCGCGTTTAGGTAAAACAGACTGGGCACCACCTTTTATTTTGGCGTCTTCAAATCCCACAAAAGCGAATAACATGTGAATATCTACGCAAGAAATTTAGCGAGAAGTAACATACATACCATTTATAATAAGAGAAGTCAGTTCAATCAGACCTTTGTCGTGGAAATGTCTGGTAAAATATTCAACAACGAACCTCCCAAAATATAACTTTTCCGTTGAAGGTTTCTAAAACAATTACTTTTCACGCAAATCAAAACCACATACGCACTCGAGTAGAAAAGTCGAAAGTCCGTGAAAATCGAATGTGCTGTCATCTTCTTTCAATAGAGAGGACTTTAGCTCCTGTATGATGCTTTAATGCTGAATAAAATGAAACCTACGTTTATTTTTCTGATTTCATGCATAGCAAAGTCTATGAAGAGGTAATAGTGAGTGGTATTACACACTGATGAAAACTTCACTTTCAGACCGCAAACAATCTAGAATCGAAATATCTTTCATAAATCGTATTTAAATTTTGAAAATCAGTTGCAGATATTTATATGCAGAACGACAAGTACTTAAGGAAAAAAGACGAAGTAACGCATACTTTCGTATATTCCTGAGTGAAGGGGGGTGGGTCTCAATTTCCAATTGTCACCATACAAATGCAGATAACAGAAAACTGTTTACACAGATATGGCAATCTGTAAAGTTGTGTATTAAGACTGTTGATGCAGTTACGTACTTAAAAATTTCGATCAGCGGTATACTCTGAAAACCCGATTTCGGAAAAGTCCCTTTCCACATCATAAGGTTACTGGTGAAGGGGTCACGGATATTCTAAGTTGGACAACGCATTTTTCTGCGACATCTTTCAGATCGATGAAATCCAAACCATAAATCAGGAATTAGGAGGATAGAAGGTATATTTGGACGATGGTTGGGATATCGAGAAGTGAAAAAACCAAGCCCGCTAGGTAATGCGTTAGGCGCCGTACCCTACGATGATCTGGTGCGTATGGTAATCGATGGCCTTCTATCCTTCGTCACTTCCTTGAGAAGAAAGAAGTGGAAATGGAAGTGCATTTAACACTTAATCTGACGCCTTTCGGATAATGGAATAATAGTCAGCCCAGACAAGTGTGAACTGTATGGCCAAAAATAAAATTCTTGGATCAACCCACGCTCCTCGCTCATCCTGACCCATTAGCCACGCTTGTCATAGCTGCTGATGCGTCAGGTTTAGTTATAGAAGCCGTTATGCAACAGAACGTCTCTGGAAGTTGACAACCGTCCGAATTTTTCTCATGACACCTCACTCCCACTGAGACGAGATATAGCGCTTTTGGTTGAGAACTGCTAGCAGCCCATTGTGCGGTCAAACATTTCCGACGACGCAGTGAGACGTCGTAACTTTATCCTCTTCACTGACCATAAGCCTCTGAAGTATGCTTTGCATACTAAGTCTGACCGCTACTCACCACGAGAGTGCAGATATTTGGACTATAACTTTCAATTCAAGACAGATCTCCTGTTAGTTATTTCCATAACTAATTGTAGTTATGTCACAACTAACCAATTAAATTATGGTTTAAGCGCCCACCACGTGATATCTTCTGGCGTGTCTGTAAATGTTCTTTGTTGTAAATGACTTAATAATTGAAGGATATTAGTATCTTCTTATATCGATGTGACTCATAGTTTTGTTCATTTCCATAGGACACGCTATATTGGTCGGTATGTTTGCTCGCTTCACTTGGTAACTGTAATTTACTTATTTATTGTACTAATCTAATCGCTGTTATGTTTAGAAACAGATAAAGTTTAACGCAAAATTGGTCTTGGTCTGACTATAGCTTTCCCATAGACTCTGTGCTCGCCAATATTGCGTTTACAGTTCTAGAAGTACATCTGTAAGACAAATTAAATACTACACCCTCGTCATATTAAAGGTGGGTCGAACTATGTTGCAGATGCTCTACCACGTATCTAAAAGAATGCAGTCACCTTACCGGTGCTTGATGTTCCTACTATGGTCATTGGTCAACCAAATGATCCTTCCTGTACAGAACCACAATAATCTACATCCCTTCAGCGGTAGGAAGTACCACTAGCTACCACCTGTCGGACAGTTCTGCTGGTCTACCCCAATCCATCGTACCCTCTGCTTACCGTCGTCTGGCCTTCGATAACCTTCATGGATTGTTTCATCCAGGTATCGCAGCCACAATACGGCTCATTGCTGAACAATACTCTGGCCGTCCATGAACGAAGATTTCCGTAAGTGGGTAAGGCATTGTTTACAATAAAAACGACCATAAGTGCTCAGGCACGTAGCTGCCTCCATGAGCACATTCGTTACGCCTGATGCTCTCTTCGATCACGCTCATACTAACATTGTAGGACCAATGCACCATTCCATGGGTATGATCATATACGTGCATCGATCGTTTCACAAGATGGCCCAAAGCTATTCTGATCACTTCTACGGCGGAGACAGTTGCTTACCGCTTCTTAGAACGATGGCAAGCTCTGTACAGTTTTCCCTCGACAATCACAACTGACCGAGGACAGCAATTTGAGTTCGAATTATTCTCCTCACTAACCCGGCTGATTGGTACGGATCGCATACGCGCTACCGCCTACCAACCAGCTTCAAATGGTTTAGCTGGGCGGTTTCATTGCCAAAGTGCTCTTCGAGCACACGAAGACAACAACTGGTGCGAAACCTTATCGCTCGTCCTCGTAGGTGTTAGAACGAGCTTGAAGGCAGACATTCAATGCTCCGCCTCTGCCTCCGGTGTAGACTCGAATACAGTATCGACAGGTCACTCTCTCGAGAGTTATCTACCTGTTTTTATACTAGTAGATTCAGTACGCAAACCTTTGCAACAGCCTTCTGAGGGACCTTTATACGTGAATTCCCACCGTGGAAACACCTTCAACGGTCATCGACATGGCCGCGTCGAGATAGTCAGCACTGATCTTCGTACTGCATGCATGCTACACTTTTCTCTTTTTATTTGATTTTATTTCCTGAGCCCATTTCTACGACCATAACCCGGTTGGTACCTGGTGAAAACTGGCCTGATCACCCACGCTCATGTCAATGCACTCAATTGATGACATGGT